GGATTGCTCTGCCTATCTTTTGAATGTATTTATGATTATTGTTTATTGTTACTCAGTGTTAAGCTTTGGTAGATTGATGCTGCCTTTATCATTTCCTAAAATCTAAGGCATATGTTTTTCATTGTTCCTCCTCAGCCAATCAGCCTATTAAAAATTATTATTAACAGAACTGAGTACAAGATAGGACTAGAAATCAGGATGCCATTCCTATTTTTGGGTGGTGAAAATAGCAAGCCAGACGCAAATGAATCCCCATGAGAGGGTAAGAACTGAAATATTGTTTGCCCACAACAAGCATACGTGCTTGGTTTCAGGGTTGCAACTTTTCTTGTTCTCAAAAAAATTAGAAGGAAGCAATATTATTGCTCTGATTGTTTCAGCATAGCTCTCTGCATTTAATTCCATCTATTACAGCAATTTTCCATTTTAAATTCAGTTATTTTTAGTGTGTCTCATTCTCACTAGCCTTGTGTACTGGAACTCTCAGCTGCATGAAATGCTATGCAGATCTTAAGCCAATACTGGCCATCTCTAAGTTCCCTTCACTGCCATTCTATAGCAGTCCTGAATGAACATATATGTTGATCCGGAATAAAATTCCACTAGAATAAGGCAATATGTGTGTAGATTCATGTAATGAGCTAAAGACTGAAGGTTTTGTTACTGGCAGGATACTGGAGGGGAGGGCTGTAGTAAGCCATTCCCAATCCTCTATGCCCACATAAAGTTTCCTAAATTCTAGAGCAAAATGGGGGAGAGAGTTTTTGGACCAGCAGGTGGAGTGGATGAGAGCTGGAGTCCAACAACATCTGGAGGGCCACAGGTTCCTATTCTAGCTTTAACATCCCTTTTCTAGAGCGCCAGGTGTTAATAGACCTGACATAGTCTCTCCCACTGTTAACAACAATTAAAATGCCATTGCCACCAACAGACATTTAAAATTTGAACATTTAAAGGCTTATCATCAATCCTCAACACGGTATACACAAAACATGCTAGCCTTCTTATACAAAATGAAAGAACAAGGTCTCATGAGGGCCTTTTAGCATTTTTATAGTGCAATACTATGCATCTCTTCTCACAAATATGTCCCACTGAATTCAATGAAATGTACTCCCAGGTAATTAAGTAATGGTATTATAGCCTTAACTTTCCGGGGGGAAGAAATCTACATATGCCAAAATTCAGGGGTGCTTTATAGAGTCACTGACATTGACAATCAATACAACAGAATGCAGTGGGGGGAAACAGTGTGTGTTTGAACATCACAATAAACATAAGTTTCAGATTTTAAACCAATCTGTTTAGTGTTTTCTGGTTCTTTGTTGTAGTTAAGTCAGTGTGGACACAAAAGTGTTTTTAATTTTGCAAAAGATGGCATATTTTTATTTTATTGTATATTTTAGTTTTATTCTTCCCTGTCTAATTAGTTTTAGGGAACAAACATAAAAGCTATTCATTAGCAGTAATATGTAATCTGCTCAAAATATTTGCTTAAATTAGTATTTGCAAAGTGTGTTCCGAGTAACTCTGGGATTTAACTGAAACTCTTCAGGGATTTCTTGATGAGAAGATAGATAACTATGGATATGTTGCCTGAAAGACTGCTGGGGAACTATTACTGATTTACCCTGAAATGCAAAGTTGAAGAAAAGTAATGGAAGCATTTTAGGGTGACAAACCTGGCTGTGTGCTTGTCAGCTGAGTGCAACCTAGACCAGGATTGGTGTGTTTTTTTCCAGTCCAAGGACTGCATTCTTTCAGGGGCAACATTCTAGGAGCCATTGGTCTGCAGAGCAATGGATGGAAGACTTGCTTTTGCAATCTAGGTTACATTTCAGGCACACAAATACCAGAGGTTTCTACACACACATACACCTCTCCAGCCCTCATCCAAACAAGACAAATTATCAGAGACTAAGGAAACATTCTAGCCACACAAAATTACTTGAGGGTTTGAGCAGGGCCAATAAGAGATGTGGCCAGAGGAACACGGAGAGTCTTAAGGGCCAGATAGAGACATGTGGTCCAAAGTTTTCCATCTCTGCCTTAGACCACCGATCTTCAGCTAGTGAGCTGAAGTGAGCCCAACATGGGGCCATAATCTAAGGAGATTTGCAACAGCAGATGTATGTTTGGGCTAAAGGTGGGTCCCTGGTTTGAAATTATTGAAGGCTACTGCCTTAGAAGGGACGCGGGTGGCGCTGTGGGTAAAAGCCTCAGCGCCTAGGGCTTGCCGATCGAAAGGTCGGTGGTTCGAATCCCCGCGGCGGGATGCGCTCCCGTTGCTCGGTCCCAGCGCCTGCCAACCTAGCAGTTCGAAAGCACCCCGGGTGCAAGTAGATAAATAGGGACCGCTTTCTAGCGGGAAGGTAAACGGCGTTTCCGTGTGTGGCTCTGGCTCGCCAGAGCAGTGATGTCACGCTGGCCACGTGACCTGGAAGTGTCTTCGGACAGCACTGGCCCCCGGCCTCTTGAGTGAGATGGGCGCACAACCCCAGAGTCTGGCAAGACTGGCCCGTATGGGCAGGGGTACCTTTACCTTTACCTTACTGCCTTAGAACATGCTCCAGAATCCTCTGAAAGACACTTGTAAGAATTTTGAAGCAGTCATCAACAATCCTTCAAATGCGGAAAGTGTTCCTGGAAATTATTCCTGGAAAGTGTTCCTGGAAATTATTGACTAAATAAGTAAGTCACCCATCACTTCTGTAGCAGGTCACAGTGGTCTCAGAACAATACTTTCTTCTTTTTTTCCCCCTGCTCTTTATTCAGCTCATAGTGGCGAGGAGGAATCAACAATACTTTCATTTGCAGTAGGAAGGCAAAAGCGTATCAGGCAGATATTCCTGTTTCCACTGGACCACAGCTATGCGGCAGAGCACTTAAAAGGACCCAGTGGCAGGTGCTGGGAAACATCCCTGCCTGAAACCCTGGAAAGCCACACCCAGAAAGAATAGATGGACAAAAAGCCTGACTTGATATAAGGTAGCTTCCTATGTTCTTGGAGGTATTTTTGTTTGTCGTTATGACTGTAAAGCTATTGATAGATCTTTTACATCTTATGACTGTTGTGAACTTCTCTAACTCTGGTAAAAAAAATGGAATACTAAGTAAATAATGTCAGGGAATGGAGACTACGTAATGACAGAACATGGGATCCATTGTGGACTGTATCTTATCCTTCCTGTATAAACAGCAGGTTGTTTCATTTTCATCAGTGCACAAGTAGGCACTTTTGTCTTAGTTGGAAGGAATATGGTTACTTGAGTCACACTGAGCATGGGGAATTAGAACTCTTCAGTTCTGCTTGTACATCCCATTAAGAGTTATTAACATATTAACTCCCGATAACTGAAAAGGCAAAGTCCACAGTGATAGTTTCATTGGGATACATTGATCTGTAAGAATATGCAAACTCTTAACTTCATTTCCCCCCCCCCCACACACAAAAAGCTATGTGAACCTAAATTTACTTCAAAAGCTTGAATGTTTTCACAAATTAAAGTTGATTTCTGCTCCAGAAAGAATCGTGGAGGTACTTTAACTACAATTTGTATTCACAATCAAAACACAAACGGATAAAGTTTTTTCCCTACTTCAGTTCAATATGTGCAGAGGCGACTGCGATTACAAAAGATAGTATTTATTTTGGGCTTATTAGGAGCACGATCCTAAGCGTGCACCATTGAAACCCACCTCTCTGCATATTTACTCAGAAGTAAGTCACACTGGGTGGTATGCAGTGGGGGTTTTTTTGGGGGGGAAGCAGGGGTACGCATACCCATAAACAATTTGTGAATCTTTGTACTTTTGTCCATTTACTGTATTCATTTCCCCCGATTTGAACTATAAAATGGTGATTTTCTTGCGTCAAAATGAGAGTACCCCAAAACATTTTTAAAGGAAAAAAAAGCAATGAAACAGTTGTGCTAGTGCAACAATTAGTTCCAGAATTGGTGCAAGTGAAAAAGGATTACTCATTACTTTCTTCCCTACATCTGTTCCAGAGGGTTTGGTGGCAGCAGGGGACAGGACCCAGAACAAGTTGGGGTTGTGTGGAAAGGAGGAGAATGTTTCATTGTGGAAAGAGAAATTGTGCTAGCAGAATGGCTCACATCAGTATTGCTGCATGCGACCCACAGAGTTCACAGGGACTTACATCTTGGACATGCTTCAGAAGAAACCTCCATGGCATCTATTAGGCTGCAGCAGCAGAGAGAGAGAGCCCCTTTGTCAGGTCCTTCGGGCCTTTTGCTCCTCAACTGCCACCTGACATCAGCCCCTCAAGCAAACTGCAGTGGAGGGAAGAGAGAAACCAGTTCACTTGGGGCTCCTGCTCTCTTTGCAACTCTTTCCATTCCAGTTGGCCATGATGAACTTCGCCACTAAGACCAGAGTTTGCTCTTTCCCTCCCCCTTCTCTCTACTTCCAGAGGCTTGGGCTTGCAGGGCTGCAGCCTCCAACACGCCTCCTCCTCTCCCTGGACTCTGCAGCCACTTCGGTGAAAGAGCCTTAAGAAAACCGAAGCAGCTGGTAAAACAGGGGGCGCAGCAGCACCAGCAGAGGATCCCATTTGCCATACTAACCTCACCAGATCAGTCATACAGGATCCCACCACCACGACCTCAGCAGCTGCCATGTCAGAGAGAGGTTTAGGACCACAGCACCTAACCTGACTCGCATCTACCTGAGCTGCCTGGGCACTAGCTCTCCAACCACCGCTCACCCCGCTTTGCCACAGGGGGGTCCTTCGCCTGCCCGCTATGTGCGCCCGCCAAGGCGCCTGAGTTTTTACTTTGCGCTTTCCCGAACTTCGACTGCTGAGCGAGCTCAGCACACCGTTATCAGAGCACCCCATTATAACTCTGCTGCCCGTTCTAACGGGCGCGAATTTTTTTTTCTTCAGGCGCGCTTTAGTCGCCTATATATCCACGGAAGCCCCGATTTTCTTTTTTTAAAAAAAAACTGCCTATCGGGTGCGCGCTTGGCTTTTCTGCAGGAGATTGGCGCGCGGGCGCGCACGCAGGAGCGTGCTGGGCGGAGTGGGAGGGTCTACGCAGGCGCGCGGGGCAAGGCGAGTGGCAGCTGCTGGGTTTCTTGGAGGTTTGTTTGCCCGTACTTCTCTCTCCCCCCCCCGTGCAGTCTCCCTTTACACACAGCAACAGGGGGTGGGGTGGGGGGCAAAGATGGTTCCCCTTCAGGCTGGGTGGATGCTGGTGGGGTTTCTCCACCCCTCCTCTTTCTCTTCTTATTAGGGGAGCAAAGCATGAAGGAAGGGGCTTGGCTTGGCTGGGCGGGGGGGGGGGGGAGGGACAACAACCCCTCAGACCTGGGCATTTGACGGGGGGAGACCGTTTTATAGGAAACAGCCACTACCAATTGTGTGTAAGGCTTGTGCTGCACTTACTTGTAGGTGCTGTTAATTTATGAATCAATACTGCTGCTCATAATACCCGTTTCCTGTGCTTCTTAACAGATTGCAGGGTTGCAGCAGCTGGTGCCCTTGCTGGGCTCATGTGCCACTCGTTCTTGCTACAGGTAGAAAGCCAGTTGTAGTGGATAAGTCCCCTGGCTCAGGCATCATCTCTGCCATGAGCTTAAGCAGCCATTTAACTGGATCCGCTGCATCTGCAATATGGGTATAATAAATAAATAAATAATTGGTCCAGTAGCACCTTAGAGACCACATAAAAGCTTATACAGTGGTACCTCGGGTTACAGACGCTTCAGGTTACAGACTCTGCTAACCCAGAAATAATACCTCGGGTTAAGAACTTTGCTTCAGGATGAGAACAGATATCGCATGGCGCCGGCAGCAGGACGCCCCATTAGCTAAAGTGGTACCTCAGGTTAAGAACAGTTTCAGGTTAAGAATGGACCTCCAGAACGAATTAAGTTCTTAACCTGAGGTACCACTGTACCCAGAACAAACTTAGTTGGTCTCTAAGGTGCTACTGGACCAAAAAAATTCTTTATTTATTTTGACTGCGTCAGACCAACACTGCTACCTACCTGAATCTAGAATCATGGGTATAATAATTCTTTTAAGTACACACACACACACACACACACACACTTTCCAAGTTAATACATTTCATTAATTTTACAGTCATTTTAACATTTCAAAATTGGGAAACAGGTATAATAATTCTAGTCTACCGTGTAAGGTTGTTGTGATATGACATGTGTGAAGTGTGCGTTCGGCGCTTGAACAGCTATCTGTGCATGCCAAGTATGAGTATTTTATGTTACGTTGAGGAAAACTGTTGAGTTTTACAACACATAGCTGTCAAAGGTAAGGGTGCCCTACAAAAACAAGTGCCGGCTGCCTACCATCGATATGAGGATAGGAGCTTGAAGAACTGCTTCCAGTCAGAGTTGACAGTACTGGGCTAGATGGACCAGTGCTCTGACTTGGGATAAGACAGCTTCATGTGAGGGTTGTGTAAACAATTTATAAATTTATGAATCTATAAATAAAAGTGGGAAATGATTCAATGGAATTTAACCATTTATCTTATTTCTGAAATGTTCAGTTTTGTTTGCAGCACTGTAGTCTTCTGCACTTTTATATGAATATTGTTATATACTACTAACAAAGTTTAATGCAATCTCATATGTAGTATTTGGGCAGAAATTCAAAGCACGTTAAGTTTTCTATTGTTACTAAGAGACACTTTTCTACCAATATTTTTTTTCAATTTTATTTGGATAAAAATAATAAGTACAGCATATTTGATATCGGTTCTGACTTAACAAGGTATTTTAGTAAATTGTTTGGAATGGTAGGTAAATTTTATACTCTGGTAAACTTTAAAATGTGTTAATGGTCACTAAGCTCATTGAGAGATTAATAAAAAGGGCACTGTCCAACTGCTGAAGTAACTATCAGGCCTGCACAACTGGTGACACACTGAGTTGAGCACAGCCCATCAGCTGGATACAGTTGTCTGCCAAGAGCCTGACAACCTCCACCTCTGCTTTTGTCACCCCAAGCAACCAGCAGAACCAGAAGATTTATCAAGTCAGTGGTGGGCTATTCTCATCTTGTTAGGTCATAAGTTGTGTTGTATTTTATAATGGACCACTGAAGAAAATGAGAGAACCATGTTTTATGAGTGAGATGCTTACTAAATATTAGGAGTACAAATGGTTGTGTGGCTATAACTGTGGACCATAGCCAAGTGGATGGGCAGCAGCTAGCCCAAATGTGCCCCCTGTTCCCAGCAGGCTTTGCTTCCATTTCCTTTCCCTTGGCCCCTACTTGCATCAGCCTTTTTTTAAAAGTTGCTTGCTTTCATCATCCTTTCCTTGCTTGCCTTGTCTTTGGCCCTGCCTTGTGTGTCAGGTCTCAAGAGTCGTCTCTTTTAAAATATGTATAGAAATTGTGTGGCTACTCTTTGATACGTTCTCAATTATTTTTCCTTGCAGAACTGTGTGCACCTTGCAGATTAGGATGTCCCCTGAAGTTGCTTTGCACAGAATATCTCCAGCACTTTCTCCTTTTGTTTCTAATGTGGTCAGGAATGGAAAAGTAGGATTGGATGCAACTAACTGTTTAAGGATTACAGATCTGAAATCTGGGTAAGTGCCCTCAATGAATTCAAATAATGTCTATGTGCCAATTTTTGTTGTCAGGAATCACATTCAATTTATTTGGAATGAAGAAATTTAAGAAGTTTTAGCAAGGCTATAGAAATCGTGATGTGTAGTGCAACACAATTGGATTTAATATTATTATTCATTGGTAGAGCTTAGTAATTGATTTCAGAAATGAACCTAATGTGTTTGAGCATTTCATTTCCATATCACATTTGGTTTTGTATCCAACCCTAAATGCCTGTCTTAAGTATTTGGCTATACATAATCTGAAAAATAGGGCTTCCCCAAAGTTAACTTTTCTTAAGATGTTACTGTTAAATGCTAGTTATATTGTGTAAGAATTTTCTTGTTGTTGAATACCACCTTTCATCTTTTACTGTTGGCAATAATGCTAGATGGAGGTTTAGCACTAGATCTAGGGACACGGGTGGTGCTGTGGTCTAAACCACTGAGCCTCTTGGGCTTGCTGATCGTAAGGTCAGCAGTTCAAATCCATGCAACGGGGTGAGCTCCCGTTGCTTTGCCCAGCACCTGCCAACCTAGCAGTTCAAAAGCATACCAGCACAAGTAGATAAATAGGTACCGCTGCAGCAGGAAGGTAAACTGCATTTCCATGCACTCTGGCACTTGCCACGGTATTCCGTGCACCAGAATCAGTTTAGTCATGCTGGCCACATGACCCGAAAAAGCTGTCTGCGGGCAAACGCCGGCTCCCTCAGCCTGAAAGCGGAGATGAGCACCCAACCCCATAGTCAAATTTGACTAGTCTTAATTGTCCAGGGGTCCTTTACCTTTTTTACCTTAGGACTAGGATTGGGCTGAGGAAGAACTTTTATTTTAGGAAAGAACTGCAGCTTAGTGATATAGTGCATGCTTTGCAAGCAAAAGGTCCAAGGTTCAGTCTCCAAAATCTTTACATAGGGAGACTACCCCTATCTGAAACCCTGGAATGCTGCTTCCATACAATGTATTGAGCTAGGTGAGCTATGTTGCTAAACATGACTCTTCTACCTGGCCAGAAGGCCACCAATAGATGTAGGATGGTAGCTGTAACTTTGCATACATTACTGATGTCCAATGAACCCTCAGTATAACTTGGTGTTGTATCAGCCACAACCACAAGTCTAGAGAAGCAATAGTAATAAATTTCAGTGGCTGACACTGCTGTCAAGCACGAACACTATGACATGTTTCTGTGCTGATTTCTTCATTAGTGGGTCTGTTCTGACAGCTGACATTTCTGAGCTGTGGGGAATAATTGAGCACAGCTCACACAACATAATAAGCACGTTCTTAACCTAGGGATTTGCTCATATAATTTTAATATAGAATAGGTCTTGCTTTTTCTGGGAAACTCCCCTGTAACCTATTTTATTTAAATATTTTATGCTGCCTCTTTCAGCCTATTTAAAGACACCTAAGGTGACTAATAATACCCATAATAAGATACAAAAATAAACAACGACCAACCAACAAATTCATAAAAAATAGTAAAATAAATAAATAAATTGAAACACCAGCAGTAGCGAGATTCAAAACTACCAAAGTTGACCACTGCCTAAGTCATACATGTTCATCTGAAAGAGGGAGCCAGGTGTGGCTCACTTGGGCGGTGAATTGCAAATCTAGGCATCGCTATTGAAAAGGTACAAATTCCACATTGGGTGTAATTAGAAAAGGAATAGATAAAATAAAACTGGCAAAACAATACCAAATAACCACACTTGGAATACTGTGTGCAGTTTTGGTCACCATGTCTCAGAAAGGATTTTGCAGAGCTGGAAAAGTTGCAGAAAAAGGCAGCCAAATGATCAAGGACGGGGCTCAAGGACAGGTTACAATATCTGCGTCTTTTTAGCTTGTAAAAAAGGTGAATGAGGTTAGACATGGTAGGTGTGTGAGAGATTATGCATTGTGTGGAGAAAGATATGTTATGTTCTCTCTATCATAATATTAGAAGAAAGGGTCATCAGATACAGGACAGACTAAAGGATGCACTTTTGCACACAGCACTTAGTCAAAGATGTGATGATAGCCGCATCTTTGAAAGTGGCTTGAAAGATAAGACTGTCAGTGGCTACCAGGCATAATGACCGTATCATTTCAACACAGATAACTCGCAACTTAAATACATTTAACTTGTGCGCATTCAGCTTTACAAGCTTGGCTAAAAATTAAAAAGGGGACAGGCATCAAGGTAAAAGAAACACTTTGAAATAGTCTTGGAAATTAATTGACAACCAGTGAATAATCCTGGTTCATCTGAATCACGAACTCTATCTTCTGCACTCTGTACTGATCAAAGTGTCTGAAAACATCCTCGCATATAGTACGTTGCAGTAGTCCAGTCCAAAGTTGATAATGGCATGCATAGTGGTGGCCTTAGCCAAAGCATGATGTAAATGTTTCTGGCCATGGCTGCTACCTTGGCTTCTTGGAGCCTAGCAGGATCCAGGAGCACTCTCAGACTGCAAACTTGATCCATCAGGCAGAGTTAAACTCTGCTACAACAAGGCAACTGTCTATTTAGCCTAGATAAGCTGAACCCCTTGCTAACTGTATTTCTGCCATTATTTAGCATAGTAGTGAGGGGCAGTCATATTTCCAAATCTTATTTTTTTGGTGCTAACACAGCTGCATTGGTTTTGTGAAATGAGTTTGAGTTTGCCTTTAAGTATCTTAATGTGTAACTTGGACAACTTCAAGACACTTTCTCCCCCCAAAGCACCCAAAGTTTAATATTTTAGAACTACTGTTACAGAAGGCTCATAATATGATACGGCAAACTTGTGGATAAGCTTTCTCTACTCTGTGGATGGGGGCAGAGCAAAAGCAAGCAAGATACGACTTTACACAACCAGGAAATGTTGCAGGATATGCTTCAGTTTTCTTGTATGGTGCCTGCATCTATTTGATTTATATCCTGGGAACCACTATTAATGCTCAATTTTCTCACTACTACTTCCTTTTCTCTTGACAGCATTTGTAGCTCCTTAAAAGTATTTTGCTAACTAATACTGTTTGCTCAGAAAGTACCTGCTTTTGAAATCTCTTGTGTAGCTTTATCAAAAAGTAATTTGACAAAATGTAGCCGCAGCTGCTGTTAGCTCTCATTTCTAGACCAGTGTATATATATGTGTGTGTGTGTGTGTGTGTGTGTGTGTGTGTTTTAAAAAGCAGAATCTTAACAGCCTGGAAAATACTTAGTGTTGCTTTTAAGGATGCTCTTATTATTATCTCTATTACACCGTAAAGTATATTATCCTTTCTCCCCCTGCTATTCTGTAGTGAACTAAATGAAGTGGTTTATTTGCAAAATCAGAAATACCTTTTTTATTCCAACTGGGTATGTTTATCTAGAAGATGAGAAGACAAGGGTGCAGGGACAGTGGGCATGATTGCATTCTTCAGATGTCTGAAGAGCTGTCAAATGAAGAGAGCAAAGACTTGTCCTCTGCTGGCCCAGACAGCAGGACTAGATTGATGGGTGCAAGTTATAGGAAGGTAGATTTTAATGAGACCTTGGAAGAAATACCTGAAAGATCAGTTTGACAAGGAACCCAATTACTTACAGGGTTGGGGACAACTTTTTATTAGGTATGCTCTAGCTCTGAACATGAGGCTGGACTAAACACTCTTCAAATCTATGATTTACAAGGAAGGTTGGAATCACATGTCAAGCTACAGCTCAGTATGATGTCCAATAAGCAATAATCTGCTGCTGATGTGTTATAAGGAACTTGTGAAGTTAAATGTCATGCATTTGTGATTGTTTCAATGGATGTTGGGAGTTCAGTGCAAAAGATGGATCTGTCCATGAGTTTGAATAGGTGTTTAGAATATCGGGCCATGCTGGGGCGAAACTTAAATGTGGAGCCTTTAATGGTAGACCACGAGGGAAATTATTCACAGGCCAGTGTTTCTGCTTGGGGTGCAACCCTCTCATGCACTGGTAGTCACTCACTGCTTGATTTTGATTCTGTATCCACTGCCAACTCTCTCCTCCCTCTCTACATCTTGGGGACATGTGATGACTGTTTAGTGGTGAGCAGTGACACTGAACATGGCCAAAGGTGCCCATGGCAGTACGCTGGAGTTATTTTTAGATCATCCCTATTGGCAGCTCTTCACAGAGAATCCCCAAACGGCTTTGGTTTTTTAAAAATCAACCTTTTTGAATTTTTTGTCAGATGTGTGAAGTGGGGTGGGGAGGAAGTCTGATGTTATATAATATAATAAAGACATACATATTTATAAATGAAAACTTCAAGGAAAAACCCCGAATACAGCAAGGCTATAGCATAAATGTGACAACGACACAGAATAATTCCTTGTATCGTATAAAAGTCAGTTAATAAAGGGTTGAGAAGGTTATTGAATGGCTTACTAAAGAGGCAAGTGAATCCTATGCATGTTTACTTTTATGTAACCCCCCACTGTATTCATTGAACTCCCACCTATGGCAGTGCATAGGACTGCAGCCGTAATAGCCATCTGAGGTATGTATTAGGTATTTTATTATAGTATGGGGATGTTTTCCTTGAGAGAAAGCAAGTCCACATGCAATATATGGAGGAACTGTTGCAGCCATTGCTCTTTTCTTTTTGGACAGGAGCCATTAATAATAATAATAATAAAATTTTATTTATATCCCGCCCTCCCCAGCTGAAGCCGGGCTCAGAGCAGCTAACAATAATAAAAGTATTGAAGAACACATAAGGAAATGTGGATGAGGAGCAGTTTCCTACTTTTATTTGTTAACAGGAGCAACTGGAATGGACAAGAGATCCTGTACTGTGTTTTTATTTCTAAAGTACTTTACATACTTTGAGTGCTTTACAGTAAATAAAAGCCGACACCAATCATGACTTTCAGATTTCTGATTACTTTGGTTTTCCTATGCATTTACCTAATGCCTCATTTAATCTGGGCATGTGTTGCTCATTGATCAGACTCTGATATTGTGTGCATCTTGGTCCTTCAATTCCCTCTTCTTTCCCTTCTAGCTGCATGTCCTTGACTCTTGGGCCCAGCTGTGATCGCTTTAAGTTGCATATTCCATATGCTGGAGAAACATTAAAATGTAAGTGCTCAAACTTTAAAGTCAACTACCTTCTGAGACTAACTGGGGAAAGTGCTCCTGTATGGAATGCTCTCCCCAGGGAGGCTTTCATGGTGCTGAACCTTCATTTGGTACAAGACTGATAGAAGACATTTCTATTCCCCTAAATATTTTAGATAATGTTTGTTAACTCTGTTCTAATTGTGGTGGTTTATGAAAATACATTTCTGTTGCTTTTAGCCATGTGTTTATTTTTTATATGCTGATCATTTGGTTATTTATAGTTACAGATGGGTAGCCGTGTTGGTCTGCCATAGTCAAAACAAAAAAAATTCCTTCCAGTAGCACCTTAAAGACCAACTAAGTTAGTTCTTGGTATGAGCTTTCGTGTGCATGCACACTTCTTCAGATACAGGTATCTGAAGAAGTGTGCATGCACACGAAAGCTCATACCAAGAACTAACTTAGTTGGTCTTTAAGGTGCTACTGGAAGGAATTTTTTTTGTTTTGGTTATTTATGTATTTTTAATGAACGTAATTGAACCAGTGAGTCCCATTAGCAGAAACCCTGCACAATGAGTACTGCTCATGCAATGAGGCTTTCTCCCTCCCACCCCCGTGTCCCCTGAAATAAGCTCACGGGGTAGAGGGTGTCAGGAAAATAACCAGAACATCATACAGGGGAAGGAGGGATGGGGTTTTTTCCATCTGGCAAGCCAAAATGATTGCCCTGATGGAGCGATGGTCTTAGCATGATGTTGTATTCCTCCCCATGTATTGTTAAGCTGCCTTGAGAGTTGTAAAGTTGAAGAGTGGGGTAACACATGTTTTAAATAAACAGTGTTTCTGTTGCATCTTCTATATCTGTTAAAATATGCATGTGCATTGACTCCCTTTTACCAGTTTGTTAACCAACCTTGTTAAAGCTTCCAGGCTTTATGAAACTGGCTCTCACGGCAGCAGCCATTGCAGCCCTTGTTCTGCATCCAATAAATGCCTGGCTTGAGGAGAGAGTGCAGTGCAGGGAATGGGGAGGCAAGATTGGATGAGGCACTGAAGGGCAGGTCTCCCCTCCAGTGCAGTCTTTTTAAACCACGAGGGCTCGTTTCTCCTGCAGCTGACATGATCTGGCAGTTGGTCTAGTAGATCTGTCCCTGTTGCAGCTGGGGAATAAAACAAAATCTGCCTGTGTAGCAAACCCAGTGGAGTCCCTTCTGGGGAAGGCATTTGGCCTTGAGGGATGTATACCCAGGTCCTTAGTCCTGGGAGGTGGAGGAATTGAGCCTGGCAGGCAGGTTTCCAAAGATCTCAGCTCTCTCCTGTGCAGTCATCAGTCTCTGGCATTATGTGGGGCTCTGTTTTAGGAGAGTTTCTAATACTATTGATCTCTTTGGTTGCTTTTTGTGGACAGTTGTTGTTCCAATGGTGAAGCTTTTCTAGTAAGTGTCTCTTCTTTACAGGCGTTGGTTGACAGATCTCAGTTTGGACTACATCCCTCTCACACACTCCACATCACATCACTCTTAAAGTGGACCATAAACCAAGAAAGTGTTTTGAAGTCAGTGGGAGAAAGCAAGTGGGAAGTGGTCAGTGAATCACCCCCCTAAGATGCAATCCAAACCTATTACATCAGTGGTGGAAACATCTAATTCAGTGGAGTTAAAGATGGCATCTTACATGATGTGGTAGCATCTGGTTTTGTGGGTTACCGCTTTTGGAGTTCATTCTGTTGCCTGTGTGTGGTTTTATATTAGATTGAGATCTTTGAAACTGTTAATTGTGCAAGTCACATGAAAGAAAAATGGCATCAGGAAACAAAGGAGCAAGTATAGCTTTTAATTTCTTTATTGCTGTAATTGACCAAATGCGATGCTCATTTCCTAAAATGGCAATGAGTTGTTGGCATCCATTTTTCTCAAGAAACAATGGGAGAGTGTGCTATTGAGGGTAAGGTCAAACCGTTGGTGAGTTTCAGCGCCTGCTGTGGCTGTAGAGACCTATATGAGAGACACACGTTTTATTGCAGCTGGGGAAGATGAAGGCACCCAGTTTCGCTGTTATATATGCACCATGATGTTTCTTCTCTCTGTGCTCCTCCCAGCGGTCATGAGTATTGCTTGGTTTGGTAGCCAGCTATCAGATTCTGGAATATCCATAGGGAGCTCATATACAAAGGACATGAAGCTGATCTTATCCAAGCTTCTGCTTCAAGGTAGGGTGTGAATATCCTCATGACACACTAGCATTCATTACGTAATTCTTTCTCCAGGTAAGTTTATTAAAATATATCAGATAGTTAGACAAAATGAACCAAGTCCCATATTAATGAGGGGAATCATTTTTCATGAGTTGCTGTCATGTGGGAGATTCAGACAGGTGACTTCTTTGGGCCTCGTGTAGAAATAATTTTTCAAAAATCAGTATTTACTCTGTAGAAGAGGGCTTAGCCATTGATGTGCTTGATGTTAGTCTTTTTGGCTGTGTACACACAGCAGTTTAAAGTGGATTTGAGGTGTGCATGTTTTTCACATCCACATGTCATTGTCCTCATCCAAGTGGCAGCCATTGCTCCCTACCCCCTGTTTAATTTGGACATTCCCAATTGATGGATAAAGTGGGGCAAACACAATTGGGGTTCTTTTAATAAACCCAGTGTTTTGTGTAATATGGTATATTGGAAAACCCGTATCTAAAAAAAGATTTTAAAAAATGTGTTAGGCACAGGTGAACAAATACTTGCATGCATTCCCACAGTGACCCTCAGATTTCCTGAACTTGGAGTGATTGAGGAAGTACTAATTGAGGCAAGGGGACAACAGCACACAATATAAATACATTCCCCCAAGCACTGTCCAGTAGTGTAGCTGGAAAACAAAAATCTCTTGAGACAAAGTTCATTTGAAAGTTCTCCTCTGTTGTCAGACATGCACTAAAGCTTGCATGGAAAAATCAGATCTGTGTGACGCATGTGCGTATTACCATTCTGGTGTGTACACTGCCTTAGCCTTATAAGTCGTCTATTTCATCCTAGTTCAAGGGCTTCGTTCTCAGTTGCCTGAACATGCACAGGTCTCTTTGTATTGGTGTTTACTAGCCTCTGTCATTAATGTTTAATTGGCCACCCAATGAGAATGATACGTTATTTCTAAGGTGCCTGGGTGGCCTCTGACCTGTGCAACCTGCACCAATATTATCTGAACAAGAGGAACATACTGTAAGCTAATGTAAATTGTTTAACCGCTACTCTTGCACCTTTTTTCTATTTCATATATACTCATGTAATCGCTGAGAAGAAGAAAATTATATTCTACCATCTTATACTAGTTGCTAAGACTGGCTTTCTGAATTGTCAGTAAAAGACAACTGGAAAACAAGTAGCAAGTAGTCTATGTATTTTAGTAGAGCATAGAAGCTTATGTGTTCCTAAAATGTAGGAAATGTTTTATCATCCAGAGTACGTGTTTATACAGTTTAAATGTTGAGATTACACATAAACTCAGGTGGCAGCTTTTTCCTAACTGCATTATATTTGAAAAGGAATAATTATTTGGGCAATTTATGAATTTTTTAACATCTTATGTCACAAAACAGAATCTGAATTGTCTGAAACAAAACATTAGGCTTTTTCTGTGATATTCCAGTGGCATAGTTCCATGTATTTGGATATATACGATGAAGAAAAAGATTTCACATCATTGTTTTTTTTAAAAAGTCGTACTGCTCTTAAACTAGCCTGGGGAACCTATGTACTTCATATGTACTCTTCATATGTAATTAGACTCCAATACTTCTCAGCCTCATCCAGCATGACCAATGAGTGATTGGAGTTGCAGTCCAACAACATCTAGAAGGTCACATGTTTCTCACCCCTGGTGCCTTAAAACAAAGCAGCCAGGGTTGTACAGGGAGGCACAATGAGACCTCAGTTCAAACCCTGTTCATCCATGGAGCTGTCTATATGATGTTTGCTATTTTAACCTAGCCTACAGTACAGGATGGTGGTGAAGTTGGAGGTGACAAGACTGCGATGCACAAAATATTAAAACAGTTACAAAGCAACAGGTGAGACCTGCCCCATGATGATTATTGTTGGGTCCTTATAGGATTGCAACAGTACCGAGAAAGAATATACTTCAGTGTTATGGTCTGCTGAATATAACAACTTCCCAATATTACACATGCCTCTCTTTACAAATCCAGCAAGAGTGGCAGCAAGTTTTTTTGAGTCAGATCTACTCAAATGAAAAATCTATGCTAAGAGAGAATGCATATTTAAACCCATGCAAATATAGATGTGATATAGCTGCAAATAAGTAGCAGATGAAAAGTGTTAATATGTGGAAGCATTATGAATGACAGTGTTTGTGGTTCAGAACAAAATGTTTTTTGATGGGCAAAGGACATTCATAATTGGCACTTGTGGAAATTATTACTATAAGCAGACAACAGTGTACAGGAACACCAAACATCCTGTTGCTAGATGTGTGGCTGTTATCTTTTGAAAGCAGAATAATTCTATGAAAAATGGTCACAGAATGTCGTAACAGGAACATTTTGAAGTGTTCATGGTTTTGTCTTGTGAGATTGGTGCTGAGTACAAGCTGAAGTGCCTACTTCCTTTGCGGCTAACCACTGCATCCTCTTTGTAAGAGATCAGTTTTCCTCCTCCAAATTATCATTCACAACAGCTGCCATACTTCAAATCCAGGTAGCTTATTCTGGTGTGTTAATCAGTTGGCATTTGGGAAGTACCACTGTTTTGACTTTTTCTCTCCCTGTAAGTCAATGGGGAAACTGAATTTACCGTGTTAGGAATTGACTTTGTGGCAACACAGTGCATCTTGTATTGAACACAGTGCATCTTGTATCGAAACTGATAGCTAGTTTACACTGTTCCCTAATTGTTTAAAGTTCCTTGGCATTCAGATGTGAACAAATCCCTCCAAACTGCACGTTTATGTCACTTTGATTTATTGTCTGTCCTTGTTTCATAGTCTCTTGAACTTCATCAAATACCAATTTTGCCAAGGCTATCAATCCTTGTTGTGATCTATTAAGGAAGATTAGCACTTTGCAGATGTAGTTTAGTTTATTCTGTGCTATGTTTATACTCCACTTTCCTGTTAAAACCAAAGCTGCTTGTAGTAGAAAATACAGTATAATAAGCATATAATTAACAGAGCACAACCATATAAGAACCAGCAGTATTGTCATTTAAGTAATGCTTAAAAAACAGAGGCTTGGATTCAGGTAACCTTGAATCATTTAACCACAAATGAATTGTAATGAATACAATACAGTTACAATCTAGAATCGGGGGTCTACAACACAGTGCCCATGGGCACCATGACACCTACAGAGTCTTCCCTGGCACCCTGAGCCAGGGACCCATGCTCTGAACTTTCATTAAAAAAATAGTATTTAGCCCTCCTAGTAAGAAAGTTAGGAAGTAAAATGTGCAGGTACCCTTCTAAGTGATTTCTGTGAAATGAGCCAGCCTGACTGCTCCTGCTTGTCAGTGTTTTTAGCCAATGGGTAAGAGTTGTTATTGGTGAGTTGTTTGCAATAGGAGTCCCTGGGGTTGTAAAGGGCTGCTGTTTCGCACTCCCATTTAGTGTGCTTTTTTCTGCTTTTATCTCATGTTCGAGTCCTTGGAATCTCTGTAGTTTGCCCTTCCTTTTCCCTAGCAACCTGGATGCATCTTTACCGTGGCAGGATTGTCTTGAGATCAGGTAGACCCTAAAAGTAATTTTCTGCAAATACTACAGTGGTGCCCTGCAAGACGAATGCCTCGCAAGACGAAAAACTCACTAGACGAAAGGGTTTTCCGTTTTTTGAGTCGTTCTGCAAGACGAATTTCCCTATGGGCTTGCTTCACAAGACGAAACGTCTTGCGGGTTCTTGCGAGTTTGTTTCCTTTTTCTTAAAGCCGCTAAGCCGTTAATAGCCGCTATGCCGCTAAGCTGCTAATAGCCGCTAAGCCGCTAATAGCCGTGCTTCGCAAGACGAAAAAACCGCAAGACGAAGAGACTCGCGGAACGGATTAATTTTGTCTTGCGAGGCACCACTTTACTTCACAATAAGTGTGGGTACAGGATGACAGCCTAGGCTTTGATTTAGTGTTGGCATTGAGGAATAAAGGGTTATTGTGCCTTTAACAGTATGTGTCAGCCAGAAATTGAACAGACTAAACCTTTTCTAGTATGCTCTCTAATTTTGTGTTCTGCCATCCTCCCCTCCCCCAAGCAGCCTTGCGCTATGACACACTCACTTGGCTCCCAAAGCATGTTCTCAAAATTCATAATGTTCCCAATGGTCCACAAAGGTTGGCAACCTCTGATCTATATTGGAACAGCAAATAAGTTTCATACATGTGGGCAAAGGGGCAGGGAGGCAAAGCCTTGCACCCATATGTTCCTTATGTTTAAAATGTATATCTGACTAATTCTGTCCTCAGAGGCACCCAGGGAGCTTAAAATATAACAAAAAGCACACACACAAAGAAGTAATAAGTAAGAGAACAAAAAGTTACAATTGAAGTGGCTTAGCCCTTGCTTCTCAAGGGTTCTCTGGAAGAGAGAAGCATTTTGCTTGTACTGTATCAGAAAGGATGCCAGGGAAGGGACCAGCTGAGTCTCCCTTGGGAAGCTGTTCTGTAATCTGAGGGCAATAAAAGAAACAGTACTGGGATTGCCTAAGATAGCCTGTGGTTGCAGAACATGAAACAGGGACTTGGGTGATGACCTGCGTACCTGGACAGGTACACACTTGGCAGCAGGTGGCTCTTCGTGTATCAACTTGCCTGGAAACCAGTTGGGAGTCACTGTGATGGATAGTTTTAGTCTGACCTCTGCATTGAGTTGCCTGCAACGAGATAAAGTGTCTATCTAATAAATTTTAATAAAAATATCAACAATAATTCTAGAGCAACTGCAGTTTCCAAATGGTCTTCAAAGGTAGCATTAATATTATATTATATGACAGGTTCATAGTAACATATTTTTTCCATTAGAACAGTATTTTAAGGAGCCAATACATCTTCCGGTCTAAGATGTGGGAGACTTTTAAGTATAGAATTTATGTATACGAGTTCGCTTACAGAAAGTGCTTTAGATAATGCTAATAGTTTAGCCTCACCATGGACTTGCATTGCACCTGAATGCAGTCAGTGTGTATAGACTTTTCTTTGCTATTGTGGTAGTTAAGCTATTTCCTTACTTGTTTGCTTGTTTTAGGGGATATAATTTTTAATGCCTACTATCCAGAACTGCCTCCTGACTTCATCTTTGGAGAGGATGCTGAGTTCCTTCCTGATCCCTCAGCTTTACATGTGAGTACATCTCTAGTGTTTTGTGTGCTGTCATTTATACAGACACCTACTTGGCTGCTTATCCGTGGCCCTCGAGCTCTGGAATGACGTGTGTTCACCCACCTTCATATTGGCAAGCCTTGCCTGTGCTGGCAGGCATTTGGTGGTGGGGCTAAGTTGCTTATTTATTGCTCTAATTGTTGTTAGTGGATTCTTTGTATTATAATGTGTTCTGTATTTTTAACTGCATTTTGCTAATGATGTGGTTGAATTATTATAATTATAATTAATAAGTACCTTCAGCTATTGGTTGCAACAGCGGGCTGAAAACGCACAAAACCAATTAAAAAAAGTTGAACTGAAATTTGCAAACCCAACAAAGATTTTCAGTCTTGCATTTTCGCTGCTCTCTTAATACATGTATGTTCTTTTATTATCCTAATGTAAATTAGATTTTGCCTAAGTTTCATGAATCAGGGTGCTGTCAATAGTTGGTCATTTTTTCTATAGCATACCGATTGAATAATTGTGGTAACTGTTAGTTTTCGTAGAGAATACATTACAGTTAGCTAGAAACTACAGTCCTGGAGAGAGACTTCCATTGCCTGTTGTGACATCTGCTGAAAAAGTTTACATATTCCTCTGAGTTTTCAATACTTCTACCTTTTTTTTTTAAAAAAGAAATCTGCTGCCACATGGCCCTTAAAGTGATCACATTGTAATCTTTCCTTTTCTGATGAGTTATCTGTTTTTCCTGCCACTGTTATTGAGCTGGACTTCCACTGTCGCTTTTCTGCCTTTCATGATCCATTTTTCATTTTTGTGGACCACAAGATTCTTGCCTTGAGACAGCAGGCCTTTCAAGGCTAAGAAGGGTTTAGTTCTTATATGGGTAGGATATTGTATTGGGGAACTCTGAGGAACTCTTTCCACTTAACCATCTCTTGCAATCGCGGGAGTGGAGTCGTAGAGACCAAAGGCATGGAACAGTATTCATTCGGGAAGATTAGAAGTAGAGGCCACGGGAGATGTTTCATCTGATGTCTTTAGCCCTCTCATTGTAAAACGCCTTGCTGTGGGCCTAATAATAGGTTAGATTTCCCTCTAATAAACATTGTATAGGTTTTAAGAAGGGCTAATTCTATAGTACAGAAAGTACTATTTGTGAGGGTGAGGTTCTGTATTCATACCTTGAAGCATGGACGTGAAGTGAAGGTGTGCTCCAGGTTTCATCATGTTAGGCAACACTCTGAAAGCTGAAGATTTAAGTGTGTGTTTTGTAATAAGGATAGGCATGCTTTCAGGAAGGGAGGATGCAAGAATCAAGTATGCTAGATGGATAGCCCTTCAAAAAATGGGATGTCATTGTCTAAGGTGGTAAACAGATCATCCCTCCCTTGAGGAACTGTTTTTGTTGCACTATGTTTATATTATGGAAAGAAACTACTCCATGGCTAGAGATAAGGATCTGGCCTCATCCAAGTAATACATTTATATAAATGCAGTAGTTTTATCCATATACAGTAGTGGAAAGCAAGGGGTAACTAGCATGTGGCTCTCCAGATGTTGGACTCCAATTCCCATCAGCCCCAGGAAGCATGACCAATGGTCAAGGAGGGGAGTTCTAATCCAGCAATATCTGGAGGGCTGTAGTTTAGCTGCCCTATGCTAAGCCACAATTTGTGTATGCATTCAATGTTGAAGCTTAGCTAGGAGGCAGTGAGTCTCCTAGAAGCACATTTTGCAAGTTGAAAAGAAGTATCTTTCCAATTCCTGTCTTTTAATTTCATTTTTTAATGAGAAATCATTGAAATTAGCAATTCTGTGCCCTTTAGGTTCTAATTATTGGACCATAAGAATTTTTCCAGAGAGAAAGTAACTGCTTGCGAATGTGCAAGTAAAACATGTAATTTGTCTGATTAGTGCATGTCATTTAGGAAATAATTAGCTGTAGTTAATCCCCTTTAAAAAAATTTTTTTTCAGTTTGTAACTTCTGTTCTACTTGGAACAGAAATATCTTTCTTACGGGGGTTCCTTTTTGTTTTGATTTTCCCCCTATATAGCAATACAGTTTGCCTTGATTTTTGACATTTTATAATTGGAAAAGGAAACCAATAATATGTTGTATTGGGGTAGAAGTTGTAAAACTTTTCTCATCTACACTTTCATCCAAAGTCTGCTTACTTAGAGGCAAGCTGATTTATAGGCGGCGACCATTTTGCGCTGGGGTTCTGTTCCTGGCCCCTGCGAGCATCTATAGAGAGCCCATCTTCTGGGTCCAAAAGGAGCCAGGCCAATTGGTGGTCGCTCATCAATTGAGCATGCAGAAAATGGTTGCCATCTGTATGTGAATAGCAATTACTTTTAAGTATAAGTTTGGTTGATCAAGTCTATTTCGGACTATGAAAACAAGAAATACTAGCCAACTGTTGGTTGTGTACACTTAAGGGGACACACTGCATGGTTACAATTTGAATGTTAAATAATTTGTAGTATATTCAGAGCTACTTTCATACATTACACAGAGACTCTGAGACTGCAGAAAAGAGCAACTAAAAGGATAAGTGATCCTGGAGTAATTCTCTATGAGGAAGGGGACTTATGGGGGGGGGAGGTTAGAGGACATGTTAGAGGTGCATAAAAACTATGGCTGGTGCGGAGACACTGAATACAGATACAATTTTCTCCCTCTTTCATAATAGTAGAACCCAGGATTGTCCAGTGAAGCTGAATGAAGCGAAATTCAGGATGGGCAAAAGAAGGTGCTATTTCTCACAGAGCTTTTCAGTACAGAATTTGCTTCCACGGGATGTAGTTACAGCTGCCAACTTGAACAGGAGGTTAGACCAATTCATGAAGAATATGGCTATCAGTGGCTACTAGTCAGGACTGAATACTATTTTGAGACTCAGAGGCAGTATGTTTTTGAATACCAGTTCCCGGAGAACAAAAGCAGCAGAGTGCTGTTGAGCTCATGTCCTGCTTGTGGGCATTCCATAGGCATCTAAAGGTAAAGGTAAAGGGACCCCTGACCATTAGGTCCAGTCGTGGCCGACTCTGGGGTTGCGGCGCTCATCTCGCTTTATTGGCCGAGGGAACCGGCGTACAGCTTCCGGGTCATGTGGCCAGCATGACTAAGCCGCTTCTGGCGAACCAGAGCAGCACACGGAAACGCCGTTTACCTTCCCGCCGGAGCAGTACCTATTTATCTACTTGCACTTTGACATGCTTTCGAACTCCTAGGTTGGCAGGAGCAGGGACCGAGCAACGGGAGCTCACCCCGTCACAGGGATTCGAATCGCCAACCTTCTGATCAGCAAGTCCTAGGCTCTGTGGTTTAACCCACAGTGCCACCTGCGTCCCTTCCATAGGCATCTGTTTGGCTGCTATTGGGAACAAAATGCTGGACCAGATGGGCTTTTTGTGTGGCCCAGCAGAGCTGCTCTTATGTTCTTATTGCCAAAGGGTTGGCCTGTCCTAATTCCCCGACCAGTGTGCCTGCCTACTACAAGTGTTTGCAAACACCTGTCTGTAACTTTCACATTTTTACACTTCAGGTGTATGTTTAAATATTTTAAGTGTATGCCTAAAGCTGTAACGTATAAACAGATTCTGATACTTCCTGTGAAGTGGACCCTTTGGATATAAGTGGAAACAAATGCTTGTGGCCGAGAAGGTGATTGAATAGATGGAGAATGGAACAGTTATCAGATAAATATTCATATTTTTCTGTTGGTTTATGAGCATTGGTACATATCAAAACTGCTTCAGAATAAAATGTTTTCGACAGACCTTTTATAGCAAATCTCTTTTGCTTACATGTTGAACTTGTACAGTGTTTGCAATTAATCTGTGAAGAAAGGCTCTGCATAAATTTAATCTTATTAACTGCTATCAAGGGCTTGATTCTTGTGTTTCCTGACATTTATTTCCTTGACAATTATTGCACTTAATTCTATACTCCCTAAAAAAAAAACACCAAAAAAAAAAAAAACAGTGCACCAACTGAAGATCTTGCTGTTTTCTGTAGTACAGCCAGAAAAAACAGTAGCAAGCTGTCTTCTTCAAAGTCACGTTCCTGGAAGATATTCCGGCAACCTGGATGCTTTAAGCACATTCTTAAGAAAAACAAGTTCCATTTAATTAAGAAATGATTTGCTTATTCTCTTAATGACAGGAACAAATTGCATCTTATGCAGATTGTTCCTGGTTTTAGAAAGAGATCATACCGCATGTATGGGAAAGATGTCTTACAGGCACACAAGCTCCATCCTGACAAGCATTGTCTTGACAGTTCAGATCTAGACTTCTAATGGCTGGTTAAATATCCTATGAGCCAAAACTAGCTGATTGAAATGGGTGGTCGCTAAGCATGTTGAGACGGCAGGCAGCAGTTCTGCTGAAGTCAGTTGTTGTAGGGCTGCAACTATGTGTCATCCGGCATGGTAGCAATAAGTAATATTGGTCGCTTCCTTTTAGAATGGAGTACTGTTCTCTCACTATGATTGAGCTGCAATAATTTCTAAGTATTCAGTTTTCCTTTTCTTGCCCTGAGTGGTTTTTAAAAAGTGGAGGCTAGAGGGGATGCACTTCAGTATGCTTTCCAAAGCCATAGGAGTGGGCTGGAAATCAAAATAAATACAAGATCCAGTAGCATGTTTTTTTCCGTCTGTATAAGATATGTGAACTTATCTACTGTGTATTTGGTGTGGTTAATTGTTTCTAGCCAATTTGAATTAGCCTGATCCTCTATTCCCTTTCCCCCTTCCCTCTTCTATGAAGAAACCCTTTCTGGGACACCACATTTAAATTCTTCCCTGGTCTCCTTGCTGGCCCTAGTAGGACCAAGTTGGCCAGTTAGCCCTGATGATCATTTGATATCTACTGACTAGGTTCCCCCCCCCAAAAAAAAGACCCCTGAATTTTTGGATTTTATTGATATTGTTGCTGCATTTTATGCTGTTTTAAAGTCACATTTTAATCAATGTTTATATTTGCTGTTAGCCGCCCTGAGCCCAGT